AATCAATCAATCAATCAATCAACCAATAAATTAATCAGTCAACCAATCAATCAAACAATCAATCAATCAATCAACCCATTAATCAATCAAAAAATCTTTTTTTTTTTTTTTTTTTTTACTCCTGGGAATTTATTATTATTATTATTATTATTATTTTAATAGAGGGGCTACCCCCCGACATCCGACCCCCCCCCAGCCCATCCAACCCCTCAACACCCCCCGAGAAGGCCACGTACGGAGGGCCCAAAGTCCGTACGTACGGTCGTACGGGCGCAGAGGGCACGTACGTACGCTCGTACGGAAGTACGGACGGGCCATCCCCGTAGAGGGTGACGACACTGGGCAACTTGCGCCGGATACCAAAATTATTGAGAACTGCCATTTCGTCAAAATGGACATTTTTTATTTTTCGAACGAAATTGAAACCGAGTTTTTTTGCCGAAATTTCGTCAAAATTTGTTGTTCCTGAGGGTCCGGCGTTTGTAAAACGCTGGACCCCCTGGCTATACATGGACCTAGCTTGAGACCAGGTACCTCCAGGCAGTCCTGCGTGGAGGTGCCTGGTCTCAAGCTAGGTCCATGTACAACCAGGGGGTCCAGCGTTTGTAAAACGTTGGACCCTCAGGAACAACAAATTTTTACGAGTTTTCGGCCAAAAAACTCGGTTTCAATTTCTTTCAAAAAATAAAAAATGTCCATTTTGACGAAATGGTCGTTTGAGAAGAATAAAAGAGAAACACCATCACAACATATCACGTCTCTATCTCTCTCTCTCTTTTCACAACGTCCTGATGTGGGCAGTCCGTCACCGCGCATCCACACATAGTTGTCACCTTGCGCCCGTGCGCCACACTCCATTGCAGCCCCACATCAACCCCACATACCCAGCACCAGCTCGTTGGATCGCCCAACTCTCTACTCACCTTCCAATTCTTTCTCGTTAGCCGATCCTCTCGATCACGCTAACTCCAAAATTCATAGAGAGCGCATTAATCACGCTTGTAAAATTTACAGCATGCATGCTTGCGCGAGATACCCGGGGTTGTGCCTGAGTGGGAAGGAATGAGGAGGAAGTCAGTGCCTAGGACTGCATGGCCAGGCCGCGGCGTAGGGGACGTAGCCACACTCCACACATCGATCCGGTCATGCAAGTGTTCAGGCCAATAGGACAGGGGGAGAAGTATGCGGGCACAGAGGCGCCACAAAAGATATCAAGAACGAGGGGATTTCAATTGCAATCACGTCCGCTAGCAAAAATTACAGTTACACACAGGATTAAGGTGCAGAAAAGTCAGAGCACATATCCTGACACGGCAAAGCGTGCGCAAGCAAGAAGCGTCGTACAACAGAAATGGAGATGCGCCCAAATTCCTAATCTAAATCCTAATTGCAAAAAAAAATTTGAACGAAGCAAATTCGAGAGCCCACGGGGGCTTGACATCAGTTGAATATTCAAAAAGATTTTCTAGCGCAACGATCGCAGCAAAATTCTCATTTCCCACAGCAGAACAAGAAAGAAGCTATGGCAACAGTTATCCTTCGCGCTCGCTAAGGCGCGATCAACTACCAACCGTCTTGGGACTATCCCGACCTCGATTCCGAAAAAAACAACAACAAGAAAAGCAAGGGCACCCATGGAATCCAACGGCCCATCCCGATTCAACCCCCGAAGTAGCCTTGCGCAGAAAGTCGCGCATTTGCAGAAAACGGTTCGTCACACCCCGGGGCCCGGGGCTTTGGAGGTCGGCACCCCCGCCCCCTGCTCCAGACTCCCTCTGACCCCCCCCACAAAAAAAAAAGAAGAAAAGAGTAAAAAGGGGGCGTGCGAAGCGGCGGTCTGCACCCCCTTGCGCAACCCCGAGCCTCACCTTAAAAAAAATCGGTTCTACCCCATCTTGGACCCCCGCCTGGGCCACACCCACCCCTAGTTAGACCAGGGTGGCCCTGGGTGCGGGCCGGTCGCAGGGCTGTTAGGGTGCGGGGCAGTGGCGGGGCCGTTAGTTTGGGGGGG